CGGTAAACTGTTTCTTCAAAAGCCTGGAAAGTGTATTTGGTAAAAACACTTGTTTTAGTGACAAAAAAATTAATATAAATATGTTGGACTCAAATTGTTTTTGGACACTTAATATTCTGGATAATGAAGCCTGAGGTTTTTAGCACCCACTTTGGAAATTAAAAGCATCACTGCCGGGGCCCTTTTGTTTTGAAGCAGGCTGTCAGAGATCTACAATATATATAAATTTATTATGTCCCATGGAGACTTTTTCATTTTTGCATAAAAATCCTTCAAAAACAAGCTTCCGTGATTCGCTTGTCCTCCACAATGATCACTATAATTATCTTGAATCTTCTAATCTCTCTCGACACCGTCTCCTTCCGGAGTGATTGTGGGTGTGGGTATCTTCTGTGCAGCAACTTCTCAGGCAAAAGCCTCTGTCTTTCTGGCTGAGAGCGCTGCTAGCTAGAGGATACTGCTGTCAAAAAAAACCCCAAAAAATAAAAAGAAAGAGTTCAATGACCTCATGCAGGTGTGTTTCTGCATCTCAACGGGAGTAGTTCCCATGCACTGAACCGTTTTGTCCTTCTCTAAGCATTTGATCCTGGCAGAGTGGATCATCAGATCGTGCAGTTTCCTTCTTTGGTTTGCAGGGGTTGTTACCTTTATCTGAGGCATCCATGGAGGATTTGTTTTCATGGGATTTCTCGTATCTAACTGTTTACTCTTCTGGAGGATGTAGATTAGCTGGCAGACTTTCCTGCAATACAGCTCTGAAGTGTTTATGTTCACCCACCAAGTATTTATTGCAATATAAATATTATTGTGGGTCATTCTATATTTGTAATATGATTACTGTTGGTATGTTAAGCTATTGAATGTTTAGATCTGAACATGCTACAGATTTGTCTTCCAACTAAATGTTTCCATGACAATCATGACGCAGGGAATTTGAGGCCGGGGCGTGAACACACTTAATTCTGATTTCTTCCTAAAATGAACCAACGTAAGATGAAAACTTTTGTGTTGATAGATAAATTATTCACTGAAAAGCACTGGAAATGTTTGCTGTTTAGATATGACATACTACAGATGTAGTTCTGTCTCTTAAAAAGAGTCTCTAGATATTCTGAAATACTTGTCCACAAACATTTTCACTTCTATGCAACCCACAAAGTTTTCCTTGTTTGTTTGCTTTTTGACTTTTAAATGTTTGCTTTAAATTTGTCAGTTGAGCACAAACATACCAGTGGAAGCAATCTTCATCTCTTAAATCCTATATATATTTACTCTGTTACTTGCAGCTGTAGCTTCCTTTTTGTTTCAGCCTCGCTATTCTCTAAACAGTTGCAGAATAATCATGGCTCTTTGGGATCTGTTTACCAGCGAACAACAAGCTGTGTATAGGAAAGATGCTAATGAGCACGCGGTTCATGACTATAATGATGAATACCGAAGTCAGAAGTAGAACGTACAATCATTTACGAGCTGTCATTACTGACTCTAACGTGGCGTTTACAAGAGAACTTATGGATTGTATATGACTGACGTGTTTAAGGAGATTAGGTTTCGTAATGCAACAAACTTTTCCACCAAACACATCACAACTTTTTTTTCCCCACTAAATGATGTTTCCACAAACGCTGAACGCTCAGATGTATAAGCCTAAGAGAAAATAACAAGAGACTCTGATGTAATTTAATCAGAATTACACACCGCCACAAAGGTGGGTCATATTATCGAATCCCAATAAGAAGCATTTGTTAGCAATAAAGGAGAGAAAATAGACAAATCACCCGTGCTCCAACTGCAGGCGCATCAATCAAAACAAAAAGCCAAATGATTCAATGTATCAAATGGAGTACTCTCAGAACTCAAGCTGCATTGATGATTCATGACAGCGGTCACAAGTTGAAGGTATCCAGCGGGAAAATGATAGATAAACAGAGTGTACACTTTATAGGCAACTGACAAATAGTGCTAATTGGTCTGCAACTAATGACAAAGCTTTGGATTTTCAACCACGATTTGGTTCCTTCTGAGTCAAAGTCATTTTTCACGGACTGTTTGCATTATTTCGTCTGCCACCCTTATGTAGAAAAGGTGCAATAATCACTCTTTTCAATTCCCCTTTAGATGTAAATATCCCAGCAGTCCTACCAACATTACACTGTGCAACAAAAGCCCAGCACAATAATTTAAAAACAACCAAAGGGCACGAACGCACTGATGCGTATCGCTCATTTGTCTGCATGCTGCTTGCAGACATTCAGTGACCCATTAGCGGCGCACACCTCTGTCTCAGTTCGCCCCGGTATCAAACCACACAGCGTCATGAGAGAGCAGAGACGGAGAGATTCGAGGCAACAGGAGACGTAATGGTGAGCCAAGACTCGTCTCTGAGAGAAGACTGCGACAGGGTGAAAGGTCTGTGGGGAAAATGGGAGCAGTCATGGAAGAGATGGGGAGAAAAAGGCTCGTCCACTCCTATTCTTCCCCTGCACAATACTATCAAAAGAGGGATGGAGAGAGAAAAAGAGTGGGACAAAGAATATATGAAGCGATAGATCAAAGGCTAAATGATAAATGCTACTCTAAACATGTGAGACTCTAGACACACTATATATAAGGGACTGGGCTTTTGTAATTGAGAGGTTATTTGGCAACTTCTCTTTTTTTTTTTTTCCAGAATTTCAGCTCAAGGTCAGAACAAAGTGATACAGTGAGTAGATCTGGGCTGTAAGGCCAGATTACACAGATAGTCCCCCCCCCCCCGCCCGCCCGTCCGTCCTTACTACACTCTGAATCATAAATCATGCATGGTACTCTGGTAAGAAAATCACCATTGCATTTGCATTTGCTTGTTTTCGATTAGCAATGGCATTAATGAGCCTCATCCTCTTTCATATTCCTGACTTGACAATATAAAATCATATTGTGTCAAACAGATAAACATGTCGCCCGTTTTCAGCGCTCAGTAGCTTAGTAATATTTCATTTCACTCCAAGGTTTAGCATCTGTCACAAAGGATCTCATGCATACACTATGTATGAGGTTTTTGTCTTTATATGCGCCAAATTCTTTTTTTAACATTTCACCTCTCATTGGAAAAAAAAATAATAAGAAAAATAAAAAATCGTGCTATGCATTTGTAAATTCAGCTAATTAGTGAGAGACAGAAAGGAGTGGGAAGAAGCTGCTGGAAGACACTTTCACTGTGACAGTGTGCCCCATATACACTGTACTGACGCCCAACACGTCTGACACACGAGCCAACAGAAATCAACAGTTCTGGAGGAAGTGAAAACGGAAGCAGCAATTACTGTTCCGTCGGAAACGACTCGGACCACGATGTGAGCTGCTTCGGTCCCGTGACTTTTAATTTACCGAGAGTGATGTGTAATTTGTGTCGGAGCAATAAAAGCAGAATCATTCTAAATCGTCAACATCGAGTTTAATACTTTTCTTTAGAGCTACAGAGGCGGTCGACGGCCAAACAGGTTCTAAAAAGCATGATACCGATAATTTCAAACACTCTTACGAAACCACTTTTGCGGCGAATGAGTTACGGGAAGAATCTGCTGCATCGATTCGGCTCCCACATATCACGACAACATGCTGACAACATTTGGACGGAGACTGTATTAACCTCTTATTATGGAATTCAGTCTTTAATTAAAAGATATATTTATTCACGTCACTGTTTATTGTTTAATCATTTAATGAAAATGTATAATTTAATTTCCCAGTTGTAAAGTAACATAGATTACTGTTTGTTTTATCACATACATTCATGTTTGGCTTTGTTTTTGTTTTTTGTTTTTTTTACAGCTCCAGGCATTTATATGTTTTTGTGTCCAGATAAAAATGTCTAAGTAAAAACATCAATCCAAGCGGACATGACGCAAACAAAGCAGTGGTGAGGCCAGTCTCGATAAAAAACAATCCACACCATCATTTCTCTTATACTTTCCATGGGGCTCTTCTAAGAGTGTGTCCCACAGATAAAGCTGTGACTTAAATCGCATGATTGATGTGAGAAGTAGAGCTTGAAGGTTTTAGCAAGTTAAAGTGCCCCTGAGTCAAAATCAAATAGGGGTTTAAAGTCCTCTGACAATCTCCCTCTCTCCATTTATCACCACTTGGCAGCTATCTCTGTTTTATATCACTGCAAGGTCAACAGCGCAGCAGCGGCATGGGATGTGTTAAGTTTGCAAATGTTTCGGGGATCTGTTTAAAGACATACAATGGCATTTTTGGCTGCCAATTAAAAATGGTTTCTACGAGCGTGGACATTGTGTCGCAGACGTTGACAGTAATTGTTTTCAGCACACTCAGAAGTCCGAGGCACAGCAGGGTGGTTGTACTGAGTGACCAAGCCCTTTTATTGATTGGCTGATTTCATTTCTTTCGAGTAAAGTGAAGAGAAAATGAAATTTTATACAACAAAGGGGAACGGCAGCCTATATCTTTGTGAGGCAAAATTGTGATTTCCACTGACTTTGTCGTGAAAGTTATTTTGTTATTAAGTTGTAGTAATAAATTTTGCAAAAGGTTTTATGATTAAATATTTAATATTCAACTCATACTGTGGGTTATGTTGAGAAAAGAGCCAAAATGTTCCCACAACTTGGAAAGACTCATTAGAATCAGATGATTAATGGTTCATCAACAATGGTCCATCGAGCTATTATTGTAAAGTATCTTCAGTAACATCACAGGAAAACATTTCAATGATGTTATAAATATATATTTCTACCAAATGTAAGGAAAGCAGTTCAGGACACAATTTGGAGAGCCTCATCTGCCCATATCTCTCAACAAAATAAATAAACAAACATAACTTCTGGCTCATTTTGTGCGTTCATCATTGTCAGTTATTTATGCATTCATTAAAAATCAAAATGTGATATTTTATTTTGAAACAAACTCTTTCTTTTCTGTGCATGATACGGTATCGTTGTTGCCAACTGTCAAAGCCACTGTACCAACCTCTACCTTTTTCTATGTCTCCACAGGTAAGCAGTAGGATGGTGTCTGGGGAGGCAGGAGGGCACAGCTACTTGGTGGCGTGCTGGCAGCCCATCCTGATCCTAATGCTGGGCACTGTCCTCTCTGGCTCCACCACCGGTTGCCCGTCCCGATGTGACTGCAACGCTCAGGAGCGGTCAGTCGTGTGCCATCGACGGAGACTGGCAGCTCTTCCCGAGGGCATCCCCACTGAAACAAGGCTGCTAGACCTCAGCAAGAACCGGCTGAAAACTCTTGGGCCCGAAGAGTTCATTAATTACCCTCAGCTGGAGGAGCTGCAACTTAATGAAAACACAATTTCAACCATTGAGCCTGGGGCTTTTAGCAACCTCATGAACCTCCGAACTCTAGGTTTGCGCAACAACCAGCTGAAGCTCATTCAGCTGGGGGTGTTCACTGGCCTGACCAACCTCACCCAGTTGGATATTAGTGAGAACAAAATTGTCATTCTGCTCGACTACATGTTCCAGGAGCTGTACAACCTGAGGGCTTTGGAGGTTGGCGACAATGACCTCGTATTCATCTCACCCCGATCATTTCATGGCCTCAGCAACCTTGAAAGCCTCAACATTGAGGGATGCAACCTGGCTTCAGTGCCCACCGATGCCCTTAGCCATCTGCATAACCTGTTGTCACTTCGATTACGTTATCTCAACGTCACCGCCGTAAGAGATTACTCCTTTAAGAGGCTGTATCGGCTCAGAGTTCTGGAGATTTCTCATATGCCTGCCCTGGACACCATGACCCCAAAATGCTTGTTTGGACTCAACCTCACTTCACTGTCCATCACAAACTGTAATCTTACCATCATCCCCTACCAAGCCATCAGTCACCTAAGATATCTTCGGTTTCTGAATCTGTCTTTCAATCCCATTTATACGGTGGAAGGGAACCAACTGTTCAACCTACAGAAGCTCCAGGCTTTTCATTTGGCCGGTGGAAGATTAGCGGCCATTGAGCCCTACTCTTTCCGAGGACTCAACCACCTCCGTGTACTCAATGTATCCAGCAATAGCCTGAGCACCTTGGAGGAGTCTGTCTTTCACTCAGTGGGAAACCTTGAGACCCTGGCTTTATATGACAACCCGCTGGCATGCGATTGCCGCTTGCTCTGGGTCTTCCGCCGGCGGTGGAGGCTGAACTTTAACAGACAACAGCCCATGTGTGCTTCACCTGAGATTGTGCAAGGAAAAGAGTTCAAGGACTTCCCAGACATCCTCCCCTCTGATTATTTCATCTGCCAGAAATCCAAGATCGTGGATTATAAAGTTCAAGAAAGCCATGTAGATGAAGGAACTACGGTTTACTTCGCTTGCCAAGCTGAGGGTGATCCAGTCCCGGTGATAATGTGGCTATCCCCCAAGAAGGAATACATCACTACCAAAACTGCGGGGTCAAGACTTTCTGTGTCTAACGAGGGCACGCTGGAGGTGCGTTACGCCCAAATCCAGGACAACGGCACCTACACGTGCATCGCAAGCAATGCAGCAGGCAATGACACCAAAGCTGCTCACCTTTTTGTGCATAGCTACTCCCCCAATTGGCCCCACCAACCAAACAAGACATTTGCCTTCATTTCCAACCAGCCCAGCGACGAAGGTGCCAATGTGACCCGGGCCACAGTTCCGTTTCCATTCGATGTAAAGACACTCATCATCGCAACAACCATGGGATTTATCTCTTTCCTCGGAGTTGTTCTCTTCTGTCTTGTAATATTATTCCTCTGGAGTAGAGGGAAAGACAATACTAAGTCAAGTATAGAGGTTGAATATGTGCCACGTAAAGAGGAAACAGAGGAGGCCAGTCCCACTGAGGCACCCATACAATTCAACATGAAAATCATGTGAACAGGAGGTCACGTAAGCTTACGAACTGCAGTCGGGATGCATACTTTCCTCGCTTCAAATATGTACTCAGATTATGAGCGATAAAATCGCACAGCAGCAAACGCATCTTGACACTATACCCTAGACTTTTTTCTTTTTTTTTTCTTCTATTTTTTTTTTTTTTTTTTTTACTTCAGGGACTGAATCTTCAAAGCAAATGTTGAATTTAAAATATTACAATTTCTGTAAATTTGTATTGGCAATACACAATCGGTATGTTAACATGCACTCAACAACCCTGTTACTGCGTGTAACCAAATTAAGGTAAAAGTTTTAATGAAGCACATGGAGTAGAGGGATTTGCCCAGTAAACAGAGTTTACATGATTGGTGGGATACTGTATGGAAGAATGTAGAGGTTGTTTCTACCATCACAAAATAAGAGAAAGGCTCTTTTTGTAGTTTGCTTTGATGGATATAAAAAGCACAATAACCCACTATTAGAAGCCAAGTTCTGTTACTTGAAATCCTTTTTTTTTTTTGTTCTATAACAAGCAATTGACATATACATATACTTTCAAGAAAAATCATACAGTTATAAAGACAGTTATATTCTGAGAAAAAAGAAGAAAAAAAACAGCCACAAGACTTTTAATAATAATTTTTAGAATAAGGTCATATAAGGTGAACGAAGCTGTGATGTTTAAAGAGTTGTGATGTTACCAGAAGACTCATTTTTGGATCTCAGTTCTCTGAAATGTAAGTTTTAGTATTAAGGACCATAAGAGGAGTAAGTGCACCTCACCACCCGTCGTGTGTCAGCGAACGCTGGCCTTTAACTATTTTCCAACATCATTAAATTTTATTTTGATGTTTTCTCTGCCCATTTTGGCGCTGCTGTCTGGGAGGAATCACGTCCAAAATCATTAAACTGTAGCCTGTATCTCCGTTAGTTGTCACAGACAATTTCAATTTTACTGAGTGTATCAGTTACATTAAATTAGATTATTTCCTTAATCTGGTATGAGTCAAATTAAAAGTGTGCATGTTAACACACTGAAAAAGATAAATAGCCAGTCCTACAGTATGTGCTCCCTTTCGCAAACAAAGGAAGTTTGTCATTAAATGTATTGACTTGTTCAGCTATACATATTTTTTCTGTATTTTATTCTTTCCTTGTACATTACGCTATGGCACAATAGTAATGCTTTTAATGGCTGTGGGTTTTGAACATATTACAATCTGAAGAGCAGATAAAATATTCAGTAAACATGTTTTTGATGTAGCTAAACCAAAAGAGTATCACTGCTTAGCAGAGTGTATAAAAGTACCTTTGAAATCATCAGATTAACAATTTATCATCAAGTGTAACGGAAGTTAATTTGTTTACTCATTTGGCAGCTCAATAAGTGAGAGCACTCTGCCCAAGTCCTGAGGTTATAATGTCGCCGGTGCATCTAAAAAGTGGTGACATTATTAATTTATTGCCTTAAGCAACCCATTTTTCCAGATTTCAGCTGAGCAATACCCAATATTTATGTGTAAAATGGAGTTTTATGCCTCATAAGGATTTTATGTTGTCTAATTAATTTCATAGTCAAGGTCTGCTCTGAAGATAATGTGTTCATTAACTCTTACAATACTTGTTTAAAAGGGAAGGGCAGATGGAAATTCTATTAAAATAAGTAACATTTTATACAACGGGTGCTTATTTTTATGCTAATCTACTATAAAAGTGAATGTGACTGCACATTTTTCATCTCCAAGAGAGATGACCTACCTGCTGCAGGTAGCAAGTATCACAGATCTTATTGTTTTACTTGAGAGGCACACAATAAATCACACTTACATAATAATACCTCTTACTCAACTCACTGCAATCTTTGATTGCTGGTACTTGCCAATTAAACCATAAAATCATATAGTATATTCAGACATGATGGCAATGTTATAGTATACACATGTCAGAGCTATGTATTGGTGCACTGTAAACTAAGATGAGGTCATGTTTGACTATCAGTCAAAGCTGCATATTATATGATTATGGTACACAAGTTTCCACAATACGTAGCTGAGGCTAATGTTTACCTCTAGGTCCCGAGGAGCGCTGGAGAAGAAGTTATATTGAATTAACCTGGGACTGCAAGTCAACACAAAATATTTCTGGATGCTAAGCAAGGTAAGTGTGTTAGCGGTCATGAGTGCTGCTAAATGAACTGATTATAACGACAACAGATGGACAAAACATAAACATGTCATTTAAGTATCAGCCTGACACCGGGGATGGATTGTTATACTAAAAGTCTGAGGACATAAAAATTGCCTGGTCACGTTTTGAAGCGGTAACACAAGGACATCATCAAAGACTAACTTGTTTGGTCTGAGGATATTTATTTTTTGGTTTTTATTACATGAAATAAACACGATATCATGTAGAAATCGCATGACAAATATATAGAAATTATGTAAGTGACACTGGAGTGAGTTGTTTCACTTCTACATATAATAATAACACGGCTACAGCGATGATGATAATGACGCTAGACTGTTGTGCACCTGACTCCAGGAATAGTGTCGACTAACTGCGCTGTATATTTATCGTTACCTCTACCACATGGAGATGTGGTTAAAATAACAGCTAGCAGCATTCCTTCATTCAGGTCCATAGTTCTATAATTATTGGGTCACTGGTCATCAGCCTGACTCATACAGTGCATCGTCAACGTGCGGGTTTCAATGCTTTCCGGCGCCATATCTCAGTTTGTTGTATCCATGCAGCTAGGCAACATCCCTCACATTTCTCAGAATAAGCCTTTTGACATGCTCTGCAGAACTCGCCGAGACCTGTTGCATCCGGATTAAGTGGTTAGCTGGATACAGCAAAAACTGCGACACTTGTAAAAGCGAGAAAGCAGGGAGACAAAAAGCACAATGAGTTCCACAAAGGAATGAAAAAGGATGAAAAAGTTTGGTTGTTTACTTTTTTCCCTGTGCTCAACACTGGTTTAAAAGAAGTATGTTCATTATGCAAAGTATTGTCTCTATTTCTGATGGGCTGACACCACAACCGGCCATCTACTATGATTAATGAGAATTGTATTCTGCTCCCACACTCCATTGCAGCTTGCACTAGAAAACATGACATAGTTTGTAATGTTTAAAAGGATACCATTTTATTTATATATCAATTTCAAGGAAGGAGGAACTTGCAGGCCGTACTTTATAGAATTACAGCTGCACCTCTGACTCATAAAGAGATGCGCAGTAAGCAGCCATGCATTGCTGAGCCAAGTAATCACTGAAATTTTAAAATCTATTCTGTAATGAAACCCGTGTGGAGATGCTGAGAAAAAGAGGCTGATATGGATGAATGAAGTCTGTTTATTCTTTATCAATAATAAGCAACTAATTGGCAGCATTATTATGCACAAACGGGAGCTAAGCCACAGCTTCCTGAGGACAAACAGCAAATTATTGTTTAAAAACAGAAACGAGTACTCTTAAGAAAGGCAGTCTACTAAATCCACTCAATATTCCAACTTTGATTAAGTAATGCCCTAGTTTAAAAATTTGAGTTATAACATCCTGAATTCATTTGGACCAACTTGATGTACAGTTTAATGGCTGTGAAACCAATTTGTCTCAAGATGTATTCTGGCCATAAAAGAAGGGCTGCATTTATGCAAAAAGAAAAATGTGGAGTATTTTCACCGCAGATTGTAGCAGAGGAGATTAAGATTAATAACGCGGCTAAGAAATAACCTTAGGGGAGGAAACTGGAGGCATTTCACAAGTAAATAATGACGCAAGAGGCATTTTCTCTTTGACAGGTAAGACGGGAGCTAAATCTAGAGGTTATTATTAACCATTAACAAAACTCTCAGTCAAAAATCCATTCAAAAGAGTGTACTGGTAACATGGAGCCTTGAAAACTACTGAGATAGACCAAGCATTCAGCATTCAAAAATGCCATCTTTTGATTCATTTGAGGGACATTTTGATCTATCAGATCATCACTTGTCATTTAATTTGTCTCAAATCCAGATACAATCTCTACAGATGATTTAATACATATTCATTCACACCGATCCACGAGCGTCTCCATCGGTGAGATAAGAAATCCAATTTGCATCTGTTCCTGCTAGATGCAAATCTGGGTCATAACACACTCCAGTGACGGCAGAGCAGGTAATGCACCTAAAAAACTGTTTGCCAACAACTGAGGAAGTCAAAAGAAGTGGAAGTGTTTAGCCACCTCAAGTTTCTGGATAACTAAACTAAACTAAAAGTAAGCGGACAACCAACTACTAACGACAACAGGCAGATGACTCACACGGATCAACAGTTTTGTTTAGAGATTCATTCAATAGTTGCACTGCCAGTCATTATTATGAGGGCATGGCCCCGCAAGCAGCTTCTTCCACACGCCACCTATTGATGTAGTTACCAGTGTGGCAGGTAAAGACCCGGGGAGACAGCGACCTTTAGAACCCACCTCAAACCACCTTAGACAGTAATTTATGTCTTGTTGTTCGTGGTTGCGTTTACACTGGGTTTTGACACGTTTATTTACATTTCTGAAATGTCTTTTTTTAAACACATGTTCAGAAACAAGCACAGTATGTCATCTTTAAGGAAAAGCAGAAGGTTTTCCACTTTTTCCTGCCATCGCTTCCAATAACTGTCTGCGGTGGAACGCTTGAGACAGAAGTGGGTCATACAACTTAGTAAAACGATGGCAGGTAATTGGAAGTTCCTCTGAGCCACAAAAGCAACCTTGGAAAAGTTTTTGTATAGCATCACCATAAAGAGTGGAATATATCGATTATACGTACCTACAAGAGGAGACCACGTCTCTGACATCTCAAGATTTTTCTGTCTGAGACGACACAATGACCTTGGACATTTTTTTTTTTGTCGTTACAATTTCTAAAAGGCGGAGCGGAGTGGCACTTCATTACACTCAACAAGGGCTCTGATGCATCCATAAGGAGACACATTTTACCCGATAGAGTAATTGGATGTGCAGCTAATGTAAATGGGGCACTTGCTTGACAGTTGATAGCGGTTGACCTCCCTGTGCAGCAGTTACCTGCCTCCAGCTCCCTGCAGCTTATCA